CACATATACATATTTATATATTGTATATATATATATATGTATGTATCGCTTGTTTATCACCACCTACTTTGGCACCTGTGACTTACAGTATCATGTTTCATTCTTCGCAGTCAATGCACTTCATTGCATATTGCATATCGTGACATGACTTCGTCGCTGATTCACTGAGAAGTGCGGGAGCATGCAATGGGCTCACGTTTCAACTTCAAAACCTCCAGGACTGGGGCTTGTTCACGTAATTTCTGTAGTTGATTTGATGCCTGAAGCCGTAATTCCGATGATGCAGACAGTCTCATCTGCCGACTCACCGTCAACCCACCGAGCCTCGTCACCCAGCCTGCGCACAGCTGTGTTGCCTGAACTGCCGGGGTTCAGCTCTTGGTTGACATTCTCTGATTCTCTGGAGCTGAATCACCATTTCTCTAGGTGGAGAAGAGAAAAGCTGACTCAAAGCTTATTGTGTGGAGGATGCGCTGTGTCATTGACACGCTGGACATCGAAGAACAAAGAAGTATATAAATGCTTATAAATGTATATATGATATATGTTTAAGCAACAAACAATATTATATATTCTCACTGCTTCAATGCGAAGGCACCACCCAGTGAAGGACTTATTCACATTGGATGCAGAAATCGGCATTGCTTATGATACCCTATCTTCGGATAAAATATGAGAAAATGATCTATGAAACCGGAAGGGTAAAGCTCCCTCTCACTAAAGCCCCAACATGGGACCAACACCATGTCGAGACAGGCCATCTCAGAAGAAACATCGTCCACTTCATTCTCCAGTGATGAAAGTGCTGCTTTCACCCAGCTTTGGTTGCTACTTTTCTACTCGTTTCATCGCGTTTTCTAATCGATTCTAGGGATGCTTAACACCAGTTGGAGTCCATTGAGGTCCTGTAATCCACCACTCAGAAGCTCCGCTCTCGCGAGAAACGTCCGGCCTGGTTTGCCCTCCAAGTTGATGCCACATAGCGGGGTGGGCGACGATGGGTTTCCCTTGAATACCGTCAGGGAGACAGGAGCTGCAAAAGACCTTGCGCAAACTAGCAGATGTGTGCCGGCCGTCACATCCGGGATTCCTGCTAGATACTGCAAGTACTGAAACAGCTCAGGCAACTTGCCTTCCCAAATGAAGCCAGAAGGAATCTGTTGACTGGCTTAGGGAACCACAGCGAACAGCTGAGATGAAAAGAAATGGGGATGAGGCAAGCCAAGAGAGCCTACCTTGCTGCAAACACCAATCCTACAGTAGAAGGTAGAAGAGAGACGTTGTCAAATTGATTTGAAACTGGGTGAGCATGGGTACAAGTAGGGAGAGAGGTCTCCACAGGCCTGCCTCCTAGGCCTGAAGGTCAAGGCAACAGGTGGGAACAGGTGTATATAACCAGAGAAAGCAAAGGCAAGCTCTTGTGAAACATCGATAAACATCGGCCATGTCAAAAAAGAAACAATGGTGATTAAATGTTCACTCGATAATATTTGAGAGTGACATGCAACCATGCCTGGGCCTTTGTGAACGAAGCTTCTCGAGACAGAATAAAAACCGTTTCCATCATTCTGTCTCTGACATATCGAGCCACCCAGAGTCCGTGTCGAAGTCCGACTTCCTCAAAACCTGAGATGGGCCACAACATGAACAGCTTGGTTTGCTTGCTGGCTTGTTTGCTTCAAGACGTGCCCCTCCTCGCAAGACATTGTTTGTTACAGAGTGCTTTTCCAGATACTAGTAGCTTCTCCCCGGCCTGAGAGGAGATTTTCTCAAAATGTTCAAAGTCCCGTTTGTTTGTTTCCTCTTTCAGGCTTAACAGTTCACATCGACCGCCGTGGCACAGTTCCCTTGACAGCATCATTGACGTGCTTCTTCGCCTTGGCCTGCTGAGCGGCCTGGCGACAAACATAGGCCATAGGCCCTTTAGGCCTAACACCCTGACTTTGTAGGGACATAGGACATAGGGCAATGTTAGGAAAATCAAAAGCATCCACAAGTGCAAAGCTGTCCGCTGGAACCACAAAAACACAAAACTAGGCGAAGGGCGAAGGCCGTGCGAAGGCCGTGCGAAGGCCACACGGCTTTCCGAGCCTGAAAGTCCTTGTCCTTGAAACTTCCGTCGGTTACAGAGATGCTCTCTCCGTCCACATCCTCCATGAGAAGGATGGCAAAATCATCCTGGACATGTCCAAGAAAACTCGCTGTAAGCCCCAAGTTTGAACGAGCTCAATCGATTGATTTTCAAAAGCTTGTTCGCACGGTTGCTGAACAAACTAATTCAGAGCTTCAATTTGAGAGTGTCTCAAAGACCCATGAGAGACCTTTTACTTGGAGCATCTTGGATCTAAACATCCTTACAGAAACTAAGCCTACACATGACCATACAGCTTTTGGTGCGTTGCAACAGTGTGCCAACCTTATAGTGGTTTATTCGGCATCCTCTGACTAGGTGATGTTCATGTTCTGACCTCCACGTAAGTCAGAGGACAATCGTCCCGCCACTCCTTCTCACCATAGACACCAACGAAGGCACAGTCGCCTGATAACAATCATAAAAAGCACTTGCTCATGTGCTAGTTTCTTTTCCAGCAATGTCAATTTTCGTAATTGATCGTAATTCATATTCTCAAGACTCAAAGTACCTCCACTGTCATCCTAATTCGGCCCTTTCAAATCGATACTATCAAAAAAATACTGCACAGTCGCGGCTCCAAGAAACTGAGAGCTGCAACAAGAAGCTACTAGTAACAAGGCACGTTACTACTAAGCAAGAAGCTACTGTGAACACAGGTCACAGCAAACAACACATTTAGCTTCGCCTTGACCTCAATGCACGTACAGAAAAAGACTAACCGGCGGCAAACCGGGGTCGCCTGGGGCCAAAGAAAATGCAACACCCCACTGCGCAATGATGGCGATGAACTTCAAGACGAATGCCATGGTGCAGCTTTGGCAGAAAGTGTGCTTTTGGACAGCGATGCAGTGGAAGATGATCAAAAACGTGACTTTACTCTTTCCAGCGACTTTAAATGTTCGCAATCCTGAACAGCGAGCGACTTAGTTTTGAGCCCTGACCGACTTTCAGAACCACGTGACAAGTGCGTCAGCTCACAAACTGTTCAAAGAAGCCTGGGTCATCCGAGTCTCGCAGGTCTGGGTTTGGTCCTAGAAAGCTAGAAACCCGTTCTTACAGGTTGTTAGCAACCAAGTTTTAAGCTACCACTGAGTATTGCGTACCAAACCCGGAATTCGATTAAAACTCAAGCATATGGACAAATGCATTGCAATGAAGTTGCACGAGCACCGCACAGTTGTAGTAGTGGATGAAATGTGGGTACAAATCTGTCAGTGCTGTTGGACATCTATAAACCAGAGGGGCCAAGATGGTTTTGTCAAACCGCAGCTGCCATCTGTGAAGTTACATCAGCCAAACTCAGAGATTGTCATGCAACCCAGCTTACTTTCAGATCTTTCAGGTTCTGAGACAAGACAAAACACAAGCCGCTCATTAGCCTCAATCCCCATTCAATCACCAGGCGACATGTGCCACAAAGAGGTTGTGGCGGAACCCTGGATAGAAACAATAAGGTACTAGGAACAAGTGCATCGCTACTAGGAGCAAGGGCCTTACTAGTAGTAACAAGAAGCTAGTAGAAACAATATACAGTATATATATAATATATATATTTTTTATTTTTGCGGCAAACCTCCACGACAGCATATCCTTGCTCAGCGATCGCACCACAAAGAAAGGCTCGATTGCGGCTCTCGTTGTGCAAGTGGAATTCATCGCTGCTGCTCCAGGACTAGACTCTAGAATGCTAGTCTGGCATTTCAGTTCAAAGACAATTGAAGGTTTCAGAGCTAACGTTCTTTCTGCAAGAGACTTTGTCACCTCACGCTAGCGAAATGGTTCCCTCCATATATTTGGTAAATTTATAGTAGCGACCTTGTTCCTAGTAGTACGGCCAGGAGCTACTAGAAGCGTCATTGCTCCTAGTAGCGATGCCCTTTGCTCCTAATAGCGTCCTTGCTCCTAGTAGTAATGCCCTTTTTCCTAGCAGCGATGCCCTTTGTTCCTAGTAGCTTCTTGTTACTTATTAGTATTGTTAGTGGTCTTTTACGGCCACACCTGCCGCACAACATGGACTTGCTAATCCGACTGTGGCTGAACCACAATAGATGTTGTGACACCCCGTGTTCAGACGAAAAAAATAACTTATTATTACCAGCAGAAGTGCGTATGTCAGACTAATATATACATGATGTGTTTACTATTACGTCTGTATATTAATACATACACAAAACAAACTGCAGTACCATGCAACTGTAGAGACTTTGGCATCTTTGGCCTAGATAGATAGAACGGTTTGCAAGCAAAAAGCACATGGCGGTGAGTGTTGACTTCAGTCTGAATGTGGGGAAGGCACCATCTCAAACCACTGCCCTACAGCAATGAGACTAAACCAATTTTAAACTGAGTCTGGGCCTACTGTTAGGAAAGAAATAAAGGAATCTGATTGACTGGCTGCTGAGCAGCTTGTCGTCGCTACAAAGTCTCGACCAATCAAGTGTTGCACGTCACAGGGTACCGTCTGCGCCGTTGGTCAAGCTTGGAGCAAGTCAGCTGCTGAACATATTGCATACTAATACTCACAGAGCTGTTGTCAGTCATCATGTTGCAAAGACAAAACCCCGTTGGTGTCAGGAAGACAAACAAACCACGCAAGCTGCATGGGTTGTGCCCATGGGAAAGGGCATGCAATTTGAGTTTGTGGAAGCATGTGGAAGCAACAACAACAGAAATTGTGAAATGTATTTATATAAATCTATATTGTGCTCTCTATCACACAAAAAGCACGTCATCCTGTCTTTGCAGTGAATACAAGCAAGCACTATCCATGATATGTGTACACTGTTCTTGTGTTGGGACATTGTCCTTCCTTATCTTCCTTCTGGGATTGAGGAAAGGGAAATGTCAGTAGATTTACTCATGAAATAGCTTTGTCATTCAACTCTGTGAGCTGCGGGTTGCCCTTCCAGGTGTCATCGCACCCAAGCAGGCGCTTTTGTGCTTCAGGGGCAACATAGAAGCAGTCCTGAAGTGCAGGTGCAGTGCACCCTGGACACAAAAGGAGTGCTGTACGTGACAGAATGTGAAGAAAAGTTCTCAAAACATCTCAACAAACCACCAGCCCATGTATAAGCCATGGAGATGTAAACACCAAAAACTGGCAACGTGCAAACCACAATGCAATCCCTGGCAGGCCTGGAAAACATGGCTCCAATCCAGGCTGCCAGGCCACCCTACCTCACCACGCTGATCGAAGAATAGCCACCAGCAATCAACGAAGCTTGTTTCTGATCTCTTTTCCAAATTTGAAACATCCGGATGTCCATAGATGGTCGGGGCCCCCAGGGCGTTCCTCAAATTTCAAGCTAACATCTCAGTCCAAATGCATGTCGAAACTCGTTCGGGTGACGGGCGTGTCGTGTGCCAGGCAGGGCGAGCCAACTCTCGGTTCGCATCACTGGATATGTAGAAAACGTGACGCATCAAGGCCGACAACCATGGCAACTGAAAGTGTGGAAGATAGTGTTATAATGTGTCCCGGAGCCCCTAGTAGCGTCCTTGTTCCTAGTAGCGATGCCAGGAGCCCCTAGTAGCTTCTTTGCTCCTAGTAGGAAATTAGATGAATGAGACGAATTTAAGCCCTTTGCAACTGCTAAATGTTCGTAGATTTCTTCACAATACTCGTGTAGATAAACCGAATGTCAAACCGCTTGCAACCAGACTGCCAAACACTGAGTGGAATGACACAGACTGCCAAACCGCTTGCAACCGCATATAATTCAAGTGCAGTCTCAGGTGCAAAATGGCAGGTTGCCCAGGTAACCTTGGTCAATGACTTTGGCATAAAACAATTGTAAAAAATGTTGGGTTGGAGGCCATCGCCATTAGGTTGGAGGCCATCGCTATTAGGTAGGCAATGGCTAGCGGCTAGTAGGTTGGAGGCCCTTGCTATAAGGTTGGAGACCATTGCGACTAGGTTGGAGGCCATCGCTATTAGGTTGGAAGCCATTGCTATTAGGTCAGAGGCCACCGCTATTAGGTTGGAGGCATTGCCAATAGGCTGGAGGCCATTGCTATTAGGTTGGAGGCAATTGCCATTAGGTTGGAGGCCATTGCCATTAGGTTGGAGGCCATTGCTATTACAGTAGGTTGGAGGCTATTGGGTTGGAGGCCGGCTGGAGGCCATTGCTATTTAGGTTGGAGGCCAGGCCATGGCTAGCAGGTTGGAGGCCATCGCTATTGGGTTGGAGACCATTGCTATTAGGTTGGAGGCCATCGCTACTAGGATGGAGACCATTGCCACTAGGTTGGAGGCCATCGCTATTGGGTTGGAAGCCATTGCTATTAGGTCAGAGGCCGCCGCTTATAGGTTGGAAGCCATTGCCAATAGGCTGGAGGCCGTTGCTATTAGGTTGGAGGCCATCGCTATTGTTCGGTTGGAGGCCATTGCCATTAGGTTGGAGGCCATTGCTATTAGGTTGGAGGCTATTAGGTTGGAGGCCGTCGCTACTGGGTAGGCTATTGCTATTAGGTTGGAGGCCATCGTTATTTGGTTGGAGGCCATGGCTAGCAGGTTGGAGGCCATCGCTATTAGGTTGGAGGCCATTGCTACTAGGTTGGAGGCCATCGGTTTAGGTTGGAGGCCATTGCTATTAGATTGGAGGCCATTGCTATGAGGTTGGAGGCCATTGCCATTAGGTTGGAGGCCATTGCTATTAGATTGGAGGCCATGGCTATTAGGTTGGAGGTCATCGCTATTTGGTTGCGTGGCTCTGGGTCTGCCGAGAGGACCTCTGTTGCAAACCATGTTTGAGAATGTGAGTCCAAGATTTTCGTGCCAAGCAGCAGCCAAACAGAGGAATTTTGCCCCTGTTTGGCAATCAGGAGAGTCCTTGCTGCGGATCGGGTTTCCACCGTTTTGCTTTTTGAAGTCTTGAACTAGATTCTCTTTCCAATAAGGATGCTGCTTTTGACAAATATTCCGTGGCTGCTGACCACACAGCCAAACCTGCCTCACATCACGGCGAAGCCAGCGGCAAGGATCAAGCCTTGATTCTGACGACTCAAGTGGATTGACTGTATTGAGGAAACCAGGTTCCTGATGGTTCCTGAACCTTTGGCGAGGAAAAATGGCTTGATAAAAGTTCTGAGGCTGAGTGTCTGTCCCCCCTGCCACAAAAAGAAACGCACCCTTTTGATCCTTTTGATACTCTGGATTCCCAAGCAAATTTCTTCGCAGGATGTTTGTGTCATTCGGTCTCACCAGAGTCCACGAAACCGGATTGCAAAAACCAGACCAAAAGAGGAGCACTGAGCACACCATGGTCTGTGTGGCAGAGTTGGAAGAGCTCCGCAGATTCTTGGCTCCCAGGATCTTCCCGGACTGATGACATCTCAAGGAATCTGTTGAGTTGGTTGTAGTGTTCTTGCTGGTGTCAAGTTGTCAAGGGGTTCCGATTTCTGCTAGCCGTTCCAGAGCAGGTGAAGACTGGATTCCTTCTCAATTGTGCAGCAACGGTAGGGCAAGAAGCAAGCTGCTGGTGAGATTTGCATATGTACAAGCTCTCTAGATGTCTATCTTTCTTCACAAACACTCTTTGCTGAAAGTTCTGACTGCCGCTGCGGCGTGGAAAGTTCATGGCACTTGAGAAGTAGATTGGAAATTGGGATCTTTGGTCCCACTCTGTACCTCCACCCGAAAACCTCGAACCAAGCCACCGCAAACAGTGGCGTGTGCTGCACCATCCTCTTCTTCTGTGGTCATGTCCATGCTGCTGGTGGTCTGGCAGAGCAGAGCTGGGGGTTGGGCCACCAGTCCGACGAAAACGAAGGCTATTCCTGGCACTAGATGAGTCGCTGATAGTTCATTCCTGCGTCGCTTCCATTCGACATCTCTGGACTTATCCTCAGTTGTCCTTCTTGCAACTGAATTAGCTGGATTTTGAGGCATCTTGCAGCTTCATCCTAAGTTTTGCACTTGGTCATTATGTTTAATGCATTAAAAAGCAATCTACTGTAATCCTATTGTAGTGTTATGGTTTCTGCGACGGTTTCTCACTCCTGTTGTGAGTGCTCAATGAGTGCAAGCTGCTGTCTCGTACAGAACAAAGCAAGTTCCCACCGATGATGTGCTAAGAGGGGCAAACGCTAATCAATTATTTGTTTCGAGTGTGAAGTTGCTCTTGCTCCAGTACCTCTGGCCGCTGCGCAACGAAGTTACTACTGAGCATCGCTTCGGCTTTGATTCGTTCCAAGCTATGCGTTTGGCTGTCGGGGTTTGCTGCAATGAACTGTCCTGATAAGAGATGTTTGTGTGCGTGTTGCAGGTAGTCCAGTAATTAGCCTTCTGCCACTGATACTCTTAAATGAAGACTCTACTTTGCTTCACTTCAGCCTTCCATAGACACCATTTGGAGCCAGAACAACAAATCCTACAAAGCAGGATAAGCCATGACAAAGCCAAACCAATCAAACATGTTGTCCAAATTTATGTGCACTAAAGACACTATAGAGATGCTAAGATAGAAGGTGCAAAGCCAACCAGAACAATAAAACGAAATATCCACCTCAGTCGTCTCCGTGGTGTTTCCCCCCATTGAGGTCGTGGTCATCAATGTGGTGCTGTTCTGGCCCGAAGCAATGCTAAAGCCGGAGAGTTGGCCTCAGCGCCAGCAGGCGGAAAGGCACTCAGTGGCAACAGCTAGATCATACTCATTATCCCCTATGCCCACCAAAGGCCAACGGCAGTCAACATGATCAATGTACAAACGGCAAATGCTGAAGCAAACATAGCGAAATATTGTCAGAATGTCAGACATCTGGTTACAGGTCACAGGTGTTTGTGGCATGTGATTACATAAGCTCCACGTTGAGGCGATAAGGATGCAGCAAAGCTATCCTGTACCAAAGCATTGATTTGTGAAGTACTGCCTTTCCAATCTGCTGTTTTGCATAAAGGTCTTATCATGGACAGTGCTGGCAAATTGTGTCGTAGCACAAACAGCACAGCCAGCCCAGTTCATTTACGTGGCAAGGGGCGAACAGCTCGGGCATCCCGCAGCCAATTCAACGGGTTGTGAATGCCTTCCGAGAGCTCTTCCTGCGCTGAGTCGAAGCTCGAAGGATAAGTTTGTCCAACTCAAGCTATCAGACCGAACCCCGGGAAGATATCTATGTGTTCGGCTTGCAGCAAAGCTTGGGATCGGCCCGGAACATTCCTCTGTTTGTTGCAAGTTTTGGACCGATGCGGTCTGATCTGTGGAGAGACATGTACTGTCCCAAGCTCATACTCAGGGACTCAGCATTTGCCTTGCTTTCAGGCTTTATGCGTACATGCTTAGACTTCGTCAAACTTGACAACAGGGCATTGCTTGCGAAGTGCTGGATCTGGATGACCAGAAGTGGGCCGCCCTGCTACTCTCGATCAAATAGGCAGTTGAAACAGTTGGCTTAGTCTCTCAAACTCAAACTCCCTCCGTTCAACTTTTTGTGGACCGTCCTTGCTGCCAGTCATGAGTCCTGCATATTGAGCAGTTTCAGTCTCGCCAAGATAGAGTGCCGCCACCTGAAGCCACCAAAGGCGTGAAATGTAGCGGTGTGCTATCTGATCGCTCCTTTTTGTGATTGTTCCAGGACTCCTGCATTTTTTGCATATTGATATGTAACTGTAACAATGTGTATATATATATATATGTGTGTGTATGGTAGTTTGAAGGACACCCATTGAGGACGAAAATGATAAGAATTGAAAATAAAGAAGTGTACTCTCTATATATATATACATATATATATATATACATATATATATATATACACAATTATACACATATTGAGATTGCGGGACTTGGACTCGGTACTGCGGACTTTGCCTCCTGAAGGCACCACAAGAGGTAAATACCTTCCTGGAACCAGAACCAAGATTCCTGCCAAGCTGTGGAATCTTGGTTCTTGGTTCCAGGAATGTACTAGTGCGTTTTAGTACCTTGCTACTCCAGTTCTGTATAGAACTTCCCTAAACAAGGAACCCAGATTTCCCGTTAGAGTTAGAGTTCACCGGACTCTTGCTTCTTGGTTCTTCGTGTGTATTAGTACATCTGGTACGCTCGCGCTCGCAATATTGAATTGTCAGATATGTCAAGTGTTAATTTGTTGTCATTCATGAACATAATCTCTTGCCACCTCAAGCGAAAACACCTAGCCCAAAAACTCCTAAGTATCTCAGAGTCAAATACCTGCCACTGCAGAAATGCATACTGGTATGAACCTTGTATCATGTCTCAAACTCTCTAAGTTGGGCTTTGGCGTATTTGAGATTTGCTTGATTTGGGTGTGATAGTGAACAATATTTAATATAATAGCAAGGGTATTGTTTCCCTAAGATCGTATTGATGAACTTAATGCTTGGAAATAGACATTGCTAACCAATGCTAATCATACATATATGAATGCTTCTCTTGGACAAGCTATGGGCGCTGCTGCCTTCACACTTCACAGGGTTGTCTGTAGGGGGTCATTTGTGACACCCAGTATGATAAAGTGACTGCAAGTCCAATCATCTTCGCTGAAGCTAGCCCAATACCGTATGCATGAAATATTTCCGGAGGATACTGTACATGTAAAGTGCAAAATGTTGTAGTAGTTGCTCCTGGGAGGCCGGATTGTCTGAATCAGTTGAACCATATAATAAGTTGTCCCATGTTGTCCCTACATGATTGAAGGCTTGCTGAGTGCAAGGGCGAACATTGCAACAAATAAGAAAACTAATGGTGTAGGGGCTATTCCGCAAGTTGCATTAATAGCAAATTGGATGTGCCTGGTCATGCAAAAAACTGCCCATAGCACGCATGGAGTCGGTCTGATTGGCACGTGTTTTTTGTATGAACTAAGATCACTACATGCCGAGTTTGCTGTGTATGTACAATGTACAGTACCCTGCGGTTATGCGATGTGTTTTCTTCATATCCCTTGTAATGTAGTTGGTTGCTCGCACCTATATCTCTGGATGCGTCAACTTATTTCAAGAGAATCGTAGTCTTCAGCAGTTTCACTCTCTATACTCCATATACCTCTCAAAGATATTGCATTACTTCAAACGTTGCAAACAGTAACAAAGAACCTGGAGGCTGGAGGCTACTCAGATTGCGGCCACAAAAATAAATTGCAGTAGAAATGTTGTGGTTGTGACATTGCAAAAACGCTCTAGTCGTCTGATATCTTGACATATGCACTGCATAGTATCCAGCATTTCTTCAATTTAGTGCAGTCGATGAAGAAAACACAAGTACATACAGGAAACACTAGACGACGAGTGGCCCGAAAGCATTTTTCATCACGTGTGACGTTAGAGTGTGAGTTATGTGTTAAGTGTTCAGTGTGAAGTGTTAAGTCGAGTGTGTTGAGGAACCCTCCCTCTCCAAGCACGCGCACTATTTTTGGAAGACCACCATTGCAGGGGGGGGGATGCTGCAGGGCTGGCAGGTCAGCACCTGCAGCAGAGCCCCCCCCATAACTCACCCAAACTGAGCGTGGTCCCTCCAAGCACCAATCTGTCATCCACTCCACTCAAAGCGTGCTGGGCAATTAGGCTAACATGGTAGCCCCAAGATTGAATAAGTTCAGCCAGCCCGGGAAAAGCTGCTTTGATTTGGAGAGCTGCGCCCAAAAGGAAGGGTCTCGCATTGCTCCGCGTGATAGGATGTCAGCCCACTCATTTCGGACGCCAGCAACATGAGAAATTTTCAAGGTGATCCGCTCTTTTAAGCAGAAAAGCGCAGTACTCTGCAGCACACTAGCCAGCGGCTGTTTCATGGACAAATGCTTTGCTGCGCTGCACACATACTGATATTGTCGCACTGTTGACGACGAGAAATTCTCCCCATCTTTGCTTCCAAAGATAGTTGCGACCGCTGGCACGACAAAAGGATCAACTGGGCTAGGGCCTCCAAGGCTGCAATGGCCGATTGCAAATCACGCAAATCGTTTGTAAACCAAGCTGGTAAAGCAGCCCATTCTACTTCGCAGGAAAACCAGAAGTTTTTGGACGGGTGGAGCTCTGCACCCTCTGGCAGGAACCAACCGCCCACACCAGCCCGGGTCCCTTCTGCATAGGCATCCGCTGCCGCCGCAACGCAGGGACCGGGGAGGTCAACCAAATGCACCGGCGCATCCTCTTGATGTTGAAGCAACCGCACGAAAAACCGGGCCACTGCAAGCTCTTCAGAGGATAAGCAAATCTCTGCTGAACCGTCTTCACCAAACTTTAGCCAGGCTTGATCACGCTTGAGGGGCGCACACAATATGTCAGCCCGGTTTTGTACCGCGTGGCCACCAATCTCTAGCACTTTCCAGCCAACCTGAATATCACAAAGACAAAGCCGGGGAAGGCGGGATACCCTGCAGTCCCTATCCAAGCAATGATACAAATCTTCCAGCTGCTCGCGTTGTGACGATTGAAAGCGCAGTCGCACTTTGCCCAGCATATGAAACCAAACTTGCAGCCAGGGTTTTAGCCAAAAAGCTCCTGTGGTGTACCACACAAGACGCCCCGCCAGGGTTTGTAGTTCTTTCCGGTTCACCCTGCGGAGCGTTGCACAAATCTGCTGCAGACTGCTAAGCATGGCCTCAAGCTTTGACGCTGGCAAGAATGCGCTGGGGCAGCCCTGAAAATGCAAATCCCAGCCTATCCAACTTAGCTGGTCGCCAAGGTCAACTTTGTGCCAAGATAACGGAAAGCCAAGTACACAGGCCAGGGTCAGTAGCTGGCAGGCCATGGGGGCTGCTACCCTGCGCGGGAACAATGCCAATGCGTCGTCCACATAGATGCAGAGGAAGTGACTGTGATGTAAGAATCGATGTGCTACACGGATGAAGGCAGCAGCAACCCTGCTCCACCAATACGCCGCCCAAGCACACCCAAAATGGCAGGTTTTGTAATAGACCCACTTTGTAGCCCCGCTGCGGTCTTTGACACAAAATGCGCTGAGCCCCTGTTCTGCCGGGCGTACCTTGACCCGTTCATGCGCCTTGCTGAAATCAAGGCTGAACGCTAGCCACGGCTCCTGAGGGTGTCTAGATAGGAACTGGGCCACGGCGCTGAGCGTGGGCAGTTCGATGCGCTCTTTGACGCGACACTGGGCATTGGCACCAGACACACTGCTGTCTCCTGTCAACCGTGCAGCTGCTCCGGCTTTCTGCACTATCCCTAGTTTGCCCGCGGCAACCAGTGACCCAAACCGGTCTTTAACGGCATCCACCCATTCTGCGAAGCCCTCATCCACATCTGCCTGTACAAGATCAGTGAGTAGCTCTGGATTGTCTAGGCCCGAGGCCCACGGCTTGTGCAAGCAGCCCAGGCAAGGCTACGTCCAAGTCATTCCAGACTTCTAGGCATCCTTGTAGGAGAGTCAGACACAGCGGCTGCCCGGCACAAATCTCCGCGCTGGCCGCAACACCTTGACTTTTCAGAAAACATGCCAATCACGGCGAAGTATTTGCACTTCTTCCTCGCTCAACCAAGGAGTGCGCGCGCGAGCTTGCACATGGACATCAAGTCTTTGCACCAAGTCCCACTCTTGAATGCGCTGCCACCACTGCTGTCTTATGGCGCTCCCGAGGCTGGCCTCTTGGGGCTGGAACCAATCGGCCGTGGAGATGATGCCACCACCGTGACGCAGCTTGAAGGGAAGGCTCAAGGCTCTTGCTCAACCATTTGCTGCACTGGCGGAGGGCTTGGCCTCAAATTAGCAAGCTCCACCGCTTCGCGGAGTTTGACGACCCCTATAGTCACTGATGTGATTTTTTGCTGCACGCTCCCGAATGGTGGTCGGGTGAGCCACATGTAGCACATTTGCGCTTAAATGCGCATTGCCGCTGCTTGCGCTCCCCGGCAATCCATTTGAAGCATTCACCGGTGGGCCGGCGCTTGTCTGTCCCACCACGACTTGACTCCAGAGGCTGCTTACGCTGTAAGGGCTCACGCGGCTCACGACTTGGAGGCTTTTCAATTTTGGGGCGGGGCATCAACAAGGAACGCAGCATGTCGCGATCAATGGTCACTGTGCTCAAAGCGTCATCTAAGCTGGCACCCGAGTAGCAGAGCCCAAACACTTCTCGCACGCCGCACTGATCGGCCTCCTCAGCTTCCTGCGCTGTGCAAAACCGGAAGTGAGGACCGGGCTCATTGGTGTAAAATTTCATGAACCGAGAGTTGTACAAAGCCCAGCTGCCCAGATGACCAGAGCCAACCATGGCATAGGCGCGCGCCCGCACTTGCAGCAGCTGCATGATGGGGTAAGGGGCATTGGAGATGTCTCGATCCAGGACCTCCTCTTGAATGTGGCAGTTCGCCAGTAAGGCTTCCAAAGAGATTGCACTCAAAGTCAACCACCACTACACCTCAAACAAATGGGCCACTTCTGATAAGCATTCGTGCAAGCTTATATTGCAGCGCGCAACGCCAGCAGCAAACACTCCAGCTTGCAGTAAGCACCTGCATGGAGGTGAGGGTTTGTTGGTTTACCTTGCAGGCAAAGCTGTCCCAGTGTGTGTGTATCTATGTCTGTGTGT